CAGCCACTCCTCGGAAGGAAGGTTGGGCAATCCTACTTCCATAGTGATACTGCCTCGGAAACCCAAGGAGGGGTCGCTATGAGTCGGGCCGACTCGACGGCACATAACAACAACAACAACAACACACAAATGCAAATGAACAGTCAGTCCTTTATCTCCAACGTGCTTGTGGTCTATTTAGAAAAAGACACAGAAGCAAAAATGCAATTATGATACAAAAGCAGTAACAAAGGCACACAATTGGTACTGCAGCAACTCACAGGGGAGCAGTCAACGACTCCTGAATGAGTTTCAGGAAGACAACTGAATCAGCTATAGAAGTATGAATTACCAGGGATGAGGCACTTGAAACAAAGCAATAACCCTATGTACAAAGACACAGAAGCTTGAAACAGCATAACAAATTTGGAAGAACCATGAATAGTTTGATTTGGCCAAAGCACAGAAAGTATGCAAAGGACTGATGAGAGATGGACTGGTTTTGAACAAAGAGGAACAAGAGAACAGAAGTCTAACAAGGAATTTAGATCAAATAGAGAGTCACCAAGAAATTTTACAGGGAAATAACCAGATGTTTACAGCCTGGCCCCAAGTAGCAGAATGAGGAGAAAAGCAGGGGATGGAATAAATATGTTAAGTGACACTAAGAATGTAAAATCAATGGGATCAATCAAATGGGCACAAGATAATGGGAAATAAGTCTATAATGTGTCCTAGGTTCCTCTGTCTAGGAGCTCTGGGAGCATAGTGTCTAAGGCACTTGACTGCTAACCAGAAGGCTGGCGGTTCAAACCCACCAGCCACTCCTTGGAAGGATGGTTGGGCAATCTACTTCCATAGTGATACCGCCTCAGAATCCCAAGGAGGGGTCGTTATGAGTCAGGTCTCGACGGCACATAACAACAACAGGTTCTGTCTTGGTAACATATGATGTACCATTAATCAGAATAGGGAATATAAGAGATGAAGCATTTAATAAATATTGCTAAACAAAATCAGATGAATATAAGGTAACAGATATTCACCTGTCAAAAGAAAACTATAACTTGTAAAAGCTTAAGCAAAATGTTAATAGAAACTGAAACTTTAATCACTATATTATATATTAAGAAGGCTTAAAAAAAACCAAGAAGAGTTTATGTAATATATAACAAAGAAACAAACACATTGTGAAAGCAATTAGAAAACAAAAACTGAATAGTATTAACCTTACAATTAACATTTAAAAAAAATTTTTATTGTGATTTGGGTGAATTTACAGAGCAAATTCATGTTCCAGATAGCAGTTCACGTACATGTTGTCTCATAACAGTGATTACAATTTTCCACAATGCAACAGCTCTTTCTCTTACTTCCTCCCCATATTTCCTCTTCCCTATGTCCTTCCCTCCCATGCACTCCTGCCCCCTAAACTGTCTCCCTGTGCATACACAGCCTTTCTATTCTCCCATGATTGATCTCTCCAAGGAGTGTACCTATCTAATGTAAATGTGCAGCTCATGTGCCTCTCTTGTTTGGCTGGAAGCCACAGGAGTGGGTTCAGTTCCAGACCTGAAGGGCAGCCAGGGGCCATAGTCTCAGTGGTTCCATCAGGCTCTATCAGTTAACA